CTTTGATTATATGAATTAAATGGCAAAAAGCACAGAAATAAATTATAAGAAAGGAGCCAATTGAATTAAGGCAATTTAAAAAGAGAACTCCTAATTGGAAGAGGCTACATGAATTTTGTAGATTAGAGGTGTCAGAGAGAAGGATGAAAGGGAGCTGTCCTTCAGAGGATGCTAGGGAATTGTAGCAATGAGACCAGGTATCGTCTTTTTTCCTTTTTCTTTTTTTCAAGGACAGAGTCTCAGGGAAGAGTGCCGTGACGTCACAGCTCACAGCAACCGCCAACTCTTGGGCTCAAGTGACTCTCTTGCCTCAGCCTCCCAACTAGCTGGGACTACAGGCACCCACCACAACACCCTGCTATTTTTTGTTGCAGTTGTCATTGTTCCTTTAGCTAGCCTGGACTGGGTTCAAGCCCATCAGCCTTGGTGTATGTGGCTGGAGCTGTACCCATTGTGCTATGAGCACTGAGCCATGTGTCATCTTTGCAGTTGCACTGAGGTAGGACTGACCTCAGTGTTTTTTGAGAGGAAGTGTACCTACCAGTTGGGTGTAATAGGTTCATTTGAAGGGCAGTTGGGAGTGAGAGAATGAAGTGGATTCATGTTATAGGAAACCACCTGGTAAACTGTTAGACTTACATTTGAATATATAACTGGTTCTTAGTGTTGAGGATCCTGATTTGGCCTTGGAGATGAACAGAGGAGGTGGACGCAGTCAATATTGTTGGTAAGAAATTTTAAGTGAAGTTGAGAATGTGATTCTGGGCCAAAGATAATGGCTCATGGCTGTACTCCTAACACTTTGGGAGGTTAATGTGGAAGGATCACTTGAACTCAGGAGTTTGAGACCAATTTGAGCAAGAGTAAGACTGGTTTCTACTAAAAATAGAAAAACTATCTGGGTATAGTGGTGGGCACCTGTAGTCTCAGGTACTCTGCGGGCTGAGGCGGGAGGATCACTTGATCCTAGGAGTTTGAAGTGAGCTGGCTGAAGCCATTGCACTCTAAAACAGGCAACAGAACAAGAAAAAAAATAAAAAGAGGATATGATTCTGTAGTTGATGAAGGGTGTAGTCAGGGTGTCCAATTCTTCTGGTTTGCCTAGGACTCTCTTAGTTTTACCTCTGAACATCCGTGTCATGGGAAACTCCTCATGTACAGGAGAACCTCTTGGTTGGTCATGTCAGGTATTGTTGAGACAAGTGATTGGTGGAGGTCCAAACTAGAGTAGCCACAATCATGTTTACAGGGGAACAGAGCATCATAAGAGGAGATCCAAGGCAGAGCATTCCAGAGCTCTGGTAGGCAAGGCAATGGAGCTGGATTTTATTTTGGTGGACAGCAATTTGGCCAAATGGAATTTAATCGAAAGCAATATGGTCAAAGCAACTTTGTGTAATAGTTTGGTTGAAACAAATTTTGAAAAAATGGATATTTTAACCACTGGCTTTCAAGGTTTTCTTAATAATAGTAACTAACTGATCCTCAAAATGATCCTATGAGGTATGCGCTATTATTTTCTTCATTTCACAGATGAGGAAACTGGTGATTTGAGAGATGAAGCTGTTTGGTCTGTCACACACTAATTAATGTAGAGTGAGACTTTAACCCCTGAGCAGCCCAAAGCTCTGTGCTGTTTAGTCACCCACCCACTTGCTGGTATCAAGGAATAAGGTTCATTTATTGTCTATTATTCTCTTTTACTAAAAAAGTATGCATAAATAATTAATTCATTGATTATAGAAAAATTATGAAATATACAGTAGCAGAAAACGACTATATAAAATACTCGAACTTTCCTCCATTGGAAAAAAGTCCTTTTACTACCTTTGTTTACGTATCATTTTGTTTTTTATGCACATTGATTTATATGTATTCTTTTCTATAAAAATTACTTTTGATAAGTCTTTTAAAATTGTTAGACATTTGACTTTTTCAAACTTTTATTGTTTGGCATTTAGGCTCTTGTAGCTTTTTGACATTATAAAGAGTTTGCAGTAGAAATAATTAGCCAAAAAGTCATGTCCAAATAAAATAAAGCATAATGAAACAAGATTAAAAAACACTGAAAATTCAAAATGATGGACAGTTATGCAAAAGATGAATAACAATTGTAGAATCACTGTTTCTGTGTTATATCAGAATTACAGTGCTGTGAAAACCAGTGGCTGAGAAATACTTGCTTTTGAGTGGACCATGATGTTCATTAACTTTCTAAATGTTTTTAGCAAAGTCACCTGAAGCCAGTGGCTTGAATCATAAGCAGGATTCCACCTCCCAGGCAGAGTCACAGGAAGACACTCATCCCTAAAATGTATATACAAGAAGCCAAGGAGGGACTATGTATAGGGGAGAAACCCAGGAACCTAGTGATCAGAAATGATAGATACAGTAAGTACATACTAGAATCAGAACATTAAAACACCTGTCAAATGTGGAGCGCAAGGTCATGTCCAGACTAAGGACAGCAGGGAGTTGATACTGAGACTCAGAGTACTGAATCAACACTCTAAATCCTTCCTGCCACAGGGCAGAAGATTGGGCCTGGGATAAGCCTACAGGTGGGAAAAATGGTTCTCAAAATAGGATTGTGATATTCAGAGGTTTGAAGGAAAATACCAGAATGAAGAACTGGTAAGAACTGTAGGATGGTTAAGGTAGTACAGTGTGAGAATACTTCTTAATACTATTGTGGTAGAAAATGAAAAGGAAAAGATTCTTAGTCTGGGATTATATGTATAAAAGTCCCTAGACATCCCCACTACATAAATAGATTGGGGTAATATTTGTAAATGTATTCCTCTTCATATCACATTTTTGGCACACAGAGAAAATGTGTGGTTGGTCCTTTGGAGATTGTGCTGCTATTTTTTATTAAATTAAAATTTTAGCTGGTATATTAAAATTTTCTCTTATTATAGATTCCCTAAATAAACATACTGTACCTTATGCTTACATTTGAGTTAATATTATCATGTTTTAAAATTAAAAATTATTATCTTTTCTTGGTGCTATAAAAGCTATCACAAAAGGAATGACTAATATTCTTGAAGATGTTTCAATTAACTTTCTTAGATATTGATCAGACAAACACTGAGATTTATGATTGTATTCTGAAGTCTTCATTAGAGGAGGCATTAGTTGTTTGGAATGACTCTCTCAGGCAGTAGTTTCCAAACACTGGGAAATGTTGCTTCTGTTATTTAAAGAGACCTTTCTTTTGCTGAATGTCTATATATTTTTTATTTGTTTTTGCTTCACTAAGAAGAACAATGGTATAAAAGTTCATTTGGAAGGGGAAAGAGGAGGAGGGAGGGAGATGGTGGGGGGGGGGTCACAGTGTATGGCACACCTCTCTGGGCTGGACACAATTACCAGAGGGACTTTACCTAACAAACGCAGTCAGCATAACCTAAGTCTTTGTACCCTCAACGAATCCCAAATTAAAAAACAAAGAAAAAGTTCATTTGGTGATCTTAATTAGAAATAATGTTTTATGTTTCTGGAGATAAGAAATTTAAAAACTTTCAGGAGCGTTCCAAGTGTTATAATAGTGTCCTTTAATTACGTGTAGGTCATGGTTAGATTTGCTTCAGTGCCTTGAGCTTTTGAATTAAGCCCTTCTTACACAGTATTAGATGAATATAATCATCATTACTGTCTATTCTGTGGGATTTTCTAAGATACATATATATATATTGTTTTTAAATTGCAAAGTGATCTATGCACGTTTTTTTTAAAACAGAACTAAAACAGTATTGAATATAAAGTAACCCCTCTTCCATCCTCAAAATGATGACTTTAGTAACAGTTTGATGCCTGTTTTTCCAGATTTTTGTGAGTCCTGCTTTTGTGTACATACATATAACAGCAATACATTCCTCCCTTCTCTTACCTCCTCCTCTTTCTGTTCCCCCTCCTTCTCTTTAAGGTAAATGTTGGGATACTGAAGGAAAGAGGCTTTATTGAATTTCACTCAGGAGCAAAGCTTATTTTCTTTGTCTTTCCTCCCTTCACCCAACATGAAGGTTCAGTAAATTAAGGCGATGCTTTGCTCTGTCCTCAAGAGCCAAACCGGGAACCTTCCCAGAATGAACTGTGTAAAGGAAAACCATTTTGGGTGCTTTCTCCTGGGACAGCCAGCTTAGCAGCTTCAGTTTTGGCTTCCCTGGTGATTGGCCCAAGGCCCAGTGGGGTTTTTTGTACCAGGGATTCTAAGTGTGAAGTTTCTCTGGGATTTTCTTGGAAAGAATTGTTCTTTGCAGCATTCCTCCTCTGGGTCTGTTATTGGTTGAGGTTTCCTCTGTGTTAGTTATCAATCATTTCAGCCAGGTCTGATTTCTGTCTTCTATGACTTCCTAAAAAATTTTGGTATGTTAATATGGACCTTGTTTTGTTCTTTTTTTTTCTTCTCATCTCTCGGTTCAGTGATATTTAGGGGGCCAAAGACAGTATACCGGACAGCTCATTCAACACCTTGAATTTGTCAGATGTCTAGTCTTTTTTCTATTTCTGGTCCAGCTTTTTGTAAATTCTTTCAGGAAAAGAACTTGTTTGCAATTCCTCTGAAACTTGAAAACTTCTTTTTCTTTCAGTTTGCACGTGATGTTAATCAAAATCATTGCTATCTCATTACTCTCTTTCTGGATGTACAAATGGCACCATTGCTTGACAAACTGCATTGATGGAACTCCACAAAGTGTTACTTGCAAAAGGCCAATTAATGATGCAAAATTTACTTAAAAATTTTGACAATTATTCATATATATATGTGTGTGTGTGTGTGTGTATATATATATATAGAGAGAGAGAGTCACTATCTTTTAATTTGCCAGCGGGCAATATTATCATTTTCTTTTTTCAGCATCCAGATCAATTAGAGATATTTAAAAACTGTAATAATAAGTTCTCATGGGCTTATGATCCTCAATGTATTTTAAAATGATTTCTTACTATCAGAAACAAATGAATGTTTCAGTTTTTTTCTTTTTTTGTTTCAGGAAGGGGAAAACATTTTCTATTTGGCAGTTGAAGATATAGAAACGGATACAGAACTTCTGATTGGCTATCTGGACAGTGACATGGAGGCCGATGAGGAAGAACAGCAAATTATGACAGTCATCAAAGAAGGAGACGTTGAAAATTCTAAAGGTCAGTCAGCAGCTGGCAGAAAAGGTACTGCATCTTTAATTGATGATCTGAGAAAAAAGCTATAGAAGAAATGTATTATAGTTTGAGTGGTGGTTGAGTTATAGTTGCATTGTAACATGGTTGTCTGAAATAAAGTTAGTTTTTGTCAAAACTATTCTTAGATGATATTCAGCTGGGATTTTCTTTCTTATAGCAGGAAAAGAATGCTGGAGGTGGGTGCAGAGGTGCCCTGTAGGACTGCCAAGGTCAGGAGCAAGGCTGCATTGTTGGGAGAGCTCTCAGTGCTCTCGCTGGTACATTGGGGTAACAAGTAGTGAGGAATTTTGTGCTCTTGCTGTCACTCTGCCCCTTGCCAGTCTTGAAATTTTGGGCACTAATTCCCTAAGACTTTACTTTCTCTTCTGCACATGGGAAAAGGTGAGTGCAGAGATAAGGTGATCAGGAAGGCCCTGCTGGATCCTAGGGGATTGATTCCTGGAGGGAGGTCCTGGGTTGATCTCTTATTTGAGATCTTTTGGGAATCTGGCGCCTCTGTGAATCTTTTTCTATCTTTTTGTAAGCCTGTAGGATTGCTAGGTTTTCCTAGTTTGGTGACTAAAAATTTGCAATGACCATAGGTCAGACCTCATTAAATCAGTCCTGCAATCCAGGAGGTACGTCACTTTCTTGTCCACTTCCGGAGAATAATCAGTTATTATTGGGCCTCGTTTCTGGTATGCTGTGTTTTATTCCTGGGAGAAGTTTGAGGGGTGTATGAATGATGTCATAGGTATTCCCATTGTGTAATAGGCTGTGTCCATTTGGGCTATTATCACAAAATACTTTAGGCTGAATACTTGGTAAGCACAAGAAATTCATTGCTTGTGGTTCTGGAGCCTGGGAAGTCTGAGATCAAGGTGCAGCAGATTTGGTGCCTAGTAAGGGCCCATTTCTCCTTAGATGTCACTTTCTAGCTGTGTCCTCATGTGAAAGAAGGACAGACAAGCTCCTTCTTTCGTAAAGTCACAAATCCTATCCATGAGGAGAGAGCCCTCCTAACCTAGTCATCTTCTAAAGACCCATCTCTAAATACTGTTCCACTGGAAATTAGGTTCAATATATGAATTTTGTGGGGGGGGGTACATAAACATTCAAATCATACCAGTCTGATACTATATAGTATTTTTCCATTTTGTATAGCAAAGCCACTTCAGAAGTGACACTGGTCTGATTGGTCACATGGTAGCTATGCTTTTCATACAGATTTTCTATTCTAACTGTATGCTGTTGGTTAAGAAAGTATGAGCATTTTCTCTCCATTGCCAGTTGAAGCTTCTGTTGCTTTATTTTAGTTGAGTTAGTTACGAAGAAGGGAAGGGTAGGCTCATAGTCTATTCCAGCTTTCAAATATGCATTATGCTGTCTGGAATATTGGATCTTCAGTGACGGGAAGTGTCTGTATTATTCTGTGTTTTTTTGTTTTCGTATTTTTTTTTTTGTTACTCCCCAGTGCTAGTTATTAGTGTGTTTGGTTATTTTGATTTAAAATAAGTCTCCTACTTATCTCCTACTGATTTCTTTTCTACCTTTAGTTACCAAAATATAAATTTTTATTATCTCTGTAAAAAAATCAACAGAAACTGAAATGGATTTTTAAAAATAAATGCACCAAGTATGTATTTTGTTGCCATTTAATTTTAGAATTCTTAATGTCTTGTTTAGAAAAGCAAAAAGAGGCTCAGCACCCATAGCTCAGTAAGTAGGGTGCTGGACACACACACCGACGCTGGCAGGTTCGAGCCTGGCCAGGGCCTGCTAAACAACAGTGATAACTGCAACCAAAAAAAAAAAAAAAATAGCCAGTTGTTGTGGTGGGTGCCTGTAGTCCCAGCTACTTGAGAGGCTGAGGCCAGAGAATCGTATAAGCCCAAGAGTTTGGTTGCTGTGAGCTGTGACACCATGGCACAGCACTCTACCCAGGGCAACATAGTGAGACTCTGTCTCAAAAAAAAAAAAAGCAAAGAGACAAAACAAAACTCCGCAGAAGAAGCAAAGAAGCCACCCAAGTGTCTAATAATAGAATGTTTATTTAAATGAATTATGGTACTTTAATTTTTAAAAAAAAACCCACAACTTTTTGACTTGACAAGATGTTAAACATGAGAAAAAGAGCAATATATCAAATTTCCTATTAAGTCTGATTGTAAATGTACCTGCTCCTAGACTGCATCCAATAACGTCTGTACTAAAGGGAAGTCAGCTTTGGAAATAGATCACAGCAGTTATCTTTGAGGATGGGATTATGGGTGTTCTTAATTTCCTTCATATTTTCTGTATTTTCTAAATCTAATTTTATTTGATAATCAGAAAAAAATCTATGTACTGTAAGTAGAGTGCTGAGAAATGTAGGCAGCACTGCATCGGTCCGTAGGGTTCAGCGGAGCCTCACTCATTATTCCCGTTGTAACCAATGTTGTTTTAAATGACCTTGGTCTTTTATTACATACGAGTATAGGTAATGTTCTCTTTGATAATTACATACGAGTATAGGTAATGTTCTCTTTGATAATTCAGCATAGTAAACCTCAGTTGGATTTTTCTCCTTGTGAAGGGATAGGTGAGATAAAAATGATTTTCATTTTGCAATTTAACGTTAGTAATACATGTAACTCTTTGGTCTACAAAGTTAATATTATAGGATAAAGTCAATACAAATATGATTTTGTATTAATTTGGTAAAAACACAAGAATATGATATTAAAAGTAATGTATTTCTCTCTAGTAATACATTCTATTTTCTGGACAATACTATTAATATTCATAGAGATAAGAAGAATTGACAGATATGGTACGTACCATAAAGCATCTGTTCTTGACTCTGAATGAATACCTTTTCCTTATAAATGTGCAGATCGCCTTGGCTGTAAAGAGGACTATGCCTGTCCTCACTGTGAGTCGAGTTTTACCAGTGACGATATTCTTGCTGAGCATCTTCAGACATTGCACCAGAAGGCCACAGAGGAGAAAGAATTTAAGTGCAAGAACTGTGGGAAGAAATTCCCAGTTAAGCAAGCTTTGCAAAGACAGTGCGTATATTAAAGAATGTCTGTAAAATTATAAGCTAACACTTCATTAAACTACTTCATTTGGCTTGACTTAAAGTTTCTAACCCCTGTGTGTATACCTTTGTGTGCATCTATGTGCATATGTCTGTGTGTTTGAGTGAGTGACAGAGAAATTGAGCCTTTTTACATTGTCATCAACTCTTCTTTTTTTTGGTTGATACTGGAAAGATTTTGATTACCACTTCTAACAAGTGCATATTGTTTACGCTAATTAATCTTTGTTCATTTAATACCTTCCCATTAAATATCAAGCTCATTGGTTTATTGAAATTCAAATGTGCCTAATTCAGTTAATCCTTTGGGATGACAGATCAAATTTTAGTTGTCTGTATTTTGTATTCCCTCTGGAATCTGTTAAAGAAAAGTTTAAGAAATGGAGAGAGTTCAGAGTATAAAGAATTTATGGACGTTTTGGGAAGCACTGTTTATTTGGCAGCAACTTGGGAAGAATAATTTAAAAGTGAATAAGTATAGAATATAACAACATGATAAATTAAATGACCCTGTACATTACTCTGTACCCCTTATTACTTGAACAATTTATAATCGCAACATAAAATCCATCCTTTCATTTGAATATTTTACAGGGTCGTGAATTATTAAATGTGAGAAGATAGGTACATATATTTGTGAAATGTTATTTCTTTAATTTTTATTTTACTAATCAAAGTTTTTTATTTTAATCAGATAAATACATTTAAGTAATTTAAAAGCATATTTTCATATTCAGTGCTACTATAGACTATCATTTTTTTGAAACCAGTTAATTTCAACATGAAAGTCACATAAATGACATTGTCCCACTCCATCAATATACATTTCTCTCTCATCCTCTCTTCCTTTCATTCACTTTCTTTCTCCAAACTTAACTTCTATTTTTAACAGAATGTCGCTTTACATATGAGCAAGAAATCTTTAACACAGACTTAATGTCATATATTTTTGTTTCATTAAAGTAAAATTCTGAAATATGCTACACTTCTTATTAAGATTATTTCTATGTATTATATGCATCAGCTTTTACTTGTAAAATTTGAGATGAAAGGGTGGCACCCGTAGCTCCGTGGATAGGGCTCTGGCCACATACACCCAGGCTGGCGGG